TTTACGAAGAATGCGCTCGACGATTTGCAAGAAGGATCCACGGTCGTGCGTCGTTTTCGCAAGAGAGAGAGAGAGAGAGAACGCGCGCGTGCGAGTGGATGCCCGCGAGGCGGCTGGATCACGCGCATGAGGATGTTCGCCGGTACGCGTGGTGCCCTCTAGACCAATGCTATCGGAATCACCGCGGCGTGTGCGAAAGGTCGCGGAGGGAGTGATAGGGACGGTCAGGGGAGGAGGAGGGAGGAGCGAGGAGGAGAAGGACTGCCGCGGAGAGTTCTCCGGAGCACGCCAAACCGACGAGGCGAGGAGAGGCGCGTAAGGCAAGGCAGGGCAAGGCAAAGGGAGCATTGCCTGCCGACCGGCGTGCGGAAGGTCTGTGACCTCGGCAATGGCCACGCCGTACACCACGCCGTATTCGCGTGTACCGTTTCCAGAGGTGATGTCACTACCACACACCAACTAGCTGCGACACGAGGGCCCTTAAAAGCCGCCGCCGAACGAGCGCGGCGGCTCTTGCCAAACGGCGCGTCTTTTTAGATTCACATCGATACCGCGCGCGCGCGCGTCCTCTTATCGGTCTTTGCCATCACCCGCGCGTCATCCCTCCTCCTCTCTCTCTCTCTCTCTTTTCCTCCCCCTCTCTCGAAATAATGGACAACGACCGAGCATACAATTATAACTATTGAATAGGTCTGTTGTTCTCAGAGAGCATATAATATTTTAGCCCGGCAATGGTCACCTGGGATCATTTAGGCCACAAATAAAGTCGCTATTGTTAACAAAATATAGCATATTGCCGATTGCTCTATGATTTGTTATTACTTAGGGACGTTATAAATAGAGATTTACTCGCTACTTCTCGAGAAAGATACGGAGAAATTAGAAAAATGTTTAAGAAACGGAATAAGTACATCCAATGTTGGTAATCGTTTACGCAAAAAACAAAAGAAAATACGGTGACTATTATCGGGTCGAGAATAAAGAGATTGAATGTTTTGTAAATATTCATATATTCGGGAAAGTTGGGCACCTCTTATTTTAGAGGTTTCTTTCTTGGGTTTTGTATACTCTTTCTTTTGTTTATTCTGCCAAATATTAGTTACAACCGTGTATTACTGTATTATTAATTTCTAAACTATAAAGTCCTTAGAGAGTATGTGGAAAAAAACTTTCTTTTTCTATCCCTCTCCCTCGCTCTCAGTCACTGCCTTTTCGCTGCGTCACCCGGTATATACCACGTGAGAATCGAAAGACGGAGAGAGAGAGAGAGAGAGAGAGAGAGGCGCAGCGTAATAATAACGGCGCGCACGAGCGCGATCCGAAGCGCGAATTCGAAGGAAAGGAAGGAGGAGCGGCGATGATCGACGCGGTTTCCGAGATCGTGCCTCAAGTGTACAGCCGTTAAAGTCACTCGTAAATATTCATGCGCTCATTAGCCCGGCTGAATAGCTGAACGGGGCGACGTCGGCATCGCGAGCGAGCGCGCATTCGGAGGAATTATTCCGCCCGTGGGCCCGACGGCTTATTAATCCGGAATGTGCTTCGAAGGGGCGTTCTTCTTCGCATTAACGAGAGACCCATGATTGTCTTACTCCCGCGTAAGGCCCGTTACGCTGGGAAATGCCCGGTGTTGCGTGTGGCCGCCGGCTAATGATCCGCGGGACCGTTAATGGACGATTAGCCGCGTGTCCGGTTGTATCTTCTGGCTACTGTCGGGGCTATAGTTTCAAAGTTTCGGAAGAAAAACCTTTCCTCTCCATATTTCCGCGGATTTCTTCGATTTCCGTCCCAGGGATGGAAAAGTTTATTTGGAAAAATTCACATGTGTTCGATCGAAACCCGCCACATTTACTTATTTCGGTGATAAAGATAGAATAGAATCAACTTTATTATACTCTAGGATGAATTCTGCAACAATTTAGATTAATATACGATAAAGATCTTTATCATGTAATAATCTAAATTGTTGTTCTTACAGGATTTATCCTAGAGAATAATAAAGTTGATTCTATTCTGAGAAGATAAGAAATCGAAAAAACTGAGTTTTCGAAATTTTAGAACTATAGTCGAGGCGTTCACATAAGCCTAAACGTAATGATAAGACGTAAATTTAGGTTGAAAAACCAATCAGGATGTTGCTTTAGATTTACATGCTCTGGAAGAAGATGGAGTCGACGGTAAATCTGATCGTAAGATCGGAAGTAACTAGGATTCGACTGATTGGAATCCTAGTTCTCGGTGTGAAATCAGTTACACGGTTACTTCCATCTTCCAGAGTGCACAGAGTGATCTGAAACAATATCCTGATTGATTCTCCAGCCTGAACTTACGTCTCGTGTTTACGATTAAGGCCATGCAGAAAAATGCAAGCAACAAGGCTCAAGCCGTAATGGAATTGACCGGTCCCGATCGATCATTCCTCGACTGTAAGAAGAATAATCGACAACCGTGATTGATTCATTTTCTCACTACTCCAGTCTTACTGTTTATATTTTCATGTGTGCCACAGGCGATTCCTGTGCGAAAATCATTATATCCGCTCCCTCCCTGCCCTCTCCTCCCTCACCCTCCCACCGTCACCGTGGTCGAATCCGTCGGTTCGGAAACGCGCATGGAAACCGGTGTAATTTCGGCCGAATCAATTTCTCCGACTCCGTCGCGACGGACAAATATGGAAATCACTTTCGCGCGCGCTGCCCGCGGCGCGCGCGAGGCTCTCTCCTCGAGAACTAATCGCGCCTGAGATCGCGGGCCGCAGGAATTGCAATCGAACTCGTATCGTAATCCGGCTCCTTGAACGGATTAAAGCGGAGACGCGAGAGCGTCATTCCCATCTGCGCTCGGACGACGGAGAGGGGAAAATGGGATCCAGGGGATCGCTCGGTAATCGTCACCCGAGGCGGAGCGGATGATTACAGGTGAGGACACGCGTGCGTAACCTTTCTCGCACGAAAATGCCAGTGCGCGAGTCCGTCGTCCTTCGCACGCGATCATCCGCGTGGTCCGCCGGGGGCCTCGCTCGCGCATATCCTCCTTCTCTCTCCCCTCTGGATCAATACCACGTGACCACCGCCGCTCGTCGTGACCGGCGCCTCCGCCGGCCGATGTAAACAAAGAAACGTGCGCACGGCGGAGCCGCGGCTGGCTGCCGCGCATCGATTTTCCTCTCTCGCGTCGAGAGAGAGAAAGAGAGAGAGAGAGAGCTCGGCTTGCTTTGCCTTGCCTCCTCACCTTGCTTTACCTTGCCTTGCCGCGGCTTGGCGTGACGCCGACCGGCAGGGCCGTCTTAAGACGATCCAGTGCTCGTGGACTGACAACACGACGCGTCGTCCCGTAATTGCATGGACGTATTATAGAGGCTTCCTCCCCCTCCCCCCTTCCCCCGGCCTCTCTCTCCTCCGAGATCCCGCAGGAGAATTAAAATGCTCGAGGCTAACGGGAGAAAGGGGGAGAGCGGGTGATAAAAAATAAACGTAGACTGAATCAATATCTCATTGTGAGTTGATTTGTTAACGTCTAAATTGATACTGCATTATGTATGACGCTGTATTATGTATGACGGAAAGTGACTCGGTTTTATTAAAATGCGTAATTATTATAATATCGTTGATTGGGAGCGCGCACAGTAGCGAGTACACGCGCGCTCCGTTTGTTGCTGTCTCGTGATTAATATGCCGGAGATTTGGTGGCGTTAAAATAACTATATAGGCTCCCATTCATCGCGATCATCTCGTCACCATCGCTTTTGAGGGTGTGAAAAGTGTTTGATGGAATTGTTTTTTTTCTCTTTTCGAAGGGATACTACGTGTGATTGATGGTATTTTCAATTTGGTTGCGCTTTCGGATCCTACGGAATTATTCACGCTTATATTCCGAACAATTACATTGTATAGGAACGAGATAGATAGATAGAGTTTAATGTGGCAATAGAGAGAGAGGGAAAGAAAGAAAGAAAGAGAGAGGTGACTGAAAGTAAGTGAGTGTAAACTTTTTGGGCAAATAACGCGAGAGTGGAAGAGAAACCAACGATTTTCCAACGAGAAAATGGATATACCGGTGGAATAAATAACAGGAGAAATTCATGGGCGGTAACGTCGTCGTAACGTCCCAGAGGACTGGTGATCGACGACTATCGCGCGTTCATTTCGATTGAAAGGTTAAAAACGCCGCGACAAAGTCCGACGTCGAAGTGCCCACGCGCTAACCACGTGCGACTATTGACGCGTTAACATTAGCGCGTCGTGGTATCGACGTAAAGAAAAAAAAGCAGTATGCAGCGTTATGTATGTTTTACTATTTCCTAGATTGAGAATTATACGATTTTAAGCTCACGCATGCGCTTGCACATAAGGTTGAAAATAAATAATTTTGATTATACTGGTAGGAGTAATTATAACGGTTTCGATCTTATATGTGTAAGGTTAAAAATGATGTAATTTTCGATTTAAGGAATAGTGTAAGTTATAGGGGAAAGAAGGATCAGATTTTGTTGTAGTTTGACTTCAATCTATCAACGATAGTAGATTTGTATATTACCGCGTTGTATAGACATTATAACAAAGTATAAAAATATAAAAAGCTTGTGAAAATTATATTTCTTGTATGCGTAAAAGAATTTATTTTCAATCTCTCGTCTTACCTTTACCCGCATGCAAAGGCAAGATGACGAAATTCACGCGTTCTCGACGAATTTAAATTAAACAAAATTCCAATTTACTTATCACTTTCTCAGTCCATACAAATGATACGCAAGGCTTTTAACTACTCGGACAAATTTCTGATCATTAATTCTTACGTTACTGCGAAAATGACGAAAAACCGACAACAAATCAGTCTTTATTTCCCATTCGTCAACACGACGCTGTGCGGGGTACATTCGCGGTCGAAAATCGTGACCGTCCGTTACTCCCCCCCCCCCTGTTTCTATCAGTCTCTGTCTCTATCTAACTCGTGCGTCATTACGTACCGACGATCACTAACGATGGTCTTTGTACTTGCAGGCGAACCCGGCAGTGGTCTACAAGTGCACTTGGCCGGGCTGTCTGGAAATCAAAGCGACGGTACCGCTTATCGAGGAACATGTGCGCCAGTCACATCTGGGGTATGCTAATAACACGAGAGATACAATACACCTCGCCTGGTCGGATGCGTTTTACCGTCGCGTGTTTTATCAGTCGGTTTGCGTTTGCGAGATCGCCGACCGGGAGCTCGCTCTCGCGCGCGAGATCAAGCGCGCTGACCGCGGGAGCGAGGCGAGAGAAAAGACATGTTGACATTAAATATTTCTATAGCGCTCCTCGATCTCTCGCACCGACCGACCGACTGAGTCGGCGGCTCGTGCTATTGTGATGGTCAACGGGTGGTGGTCGATGTGACACGCGCCGCGTGTGTGCAGACATACACACACACAGCCGTGTGGGCCGCGCGACTATGATCCGACGGTTAAGAATTAACCGGACGATCTGTAAACAAAAATCGTTCGTAACGCGCCACTCTGATTCCGAAACTGTCACGAGCGAGTGATCCGCGCCGTACTCGTTTTTACACGTTTTGTCCAACGTACGAGAGAATCGAGAGACGACGGTCAGGCGATGAAGCTCTTGCCCGTGAGAGCGAGAATTTAACGGAGAGTATGAACGGAGAAAACCGCCTTTCTTGCGCAGCCCGAAGAAGTTCGAGGGGCCGGACAGTGAGAAGGATTACATGCGTGTCCCCGAAGAGGAGTTCTACTACCAAGAGGTCGGCGTGGATCACATGAGCTCACCGCCCACAATGTCCCATCGGGACATGGCGAGACCGCCGCACGAGGATCCGGAATATCAAAAGCAGCTTCGCCTCGAAGCGACTCCTGCCACGAATAACAGCGTCGACAGCGTGATGGTCGGTGCCAGAGAGCCGAACAACGCGATCTCACAGTCGCCGGTAAGTGGCCGCGCTCTTGTAGGATCTGTAGAGAGACGTCGATCATCGGACTGATGAGATGTACAAACCATTCTCTCTCTTTCTCTATTTTAATGTTATTTACCAAAATGTCCGTTTGCTGTGTTCCTTTTGATTTCTTCTTTTCTCGCGACTAAAGCTGCATGTTACTCATTGTGACGTTCACACACGCTTACTTCATCGCTTACTTCATCACTCACCCTTCCCGTCGTCGCTTACTCCGCTCAAATATTGCCGCTCGTCGGAGAGTCCTGACCCGGTTAGAATGAAACAAATTTACGCCTACTCGCTCCCCTTTGTATCTTGATCTTCCTTGATTACGAGGAAAAGCGTCGTTCTCAAAATGACGCGCTCCAGCGTCGCGCACACTGGCCGACGAGGTCGCGAACAGTGATATCTGACGGGATCTGCGCCGCCTTCTGTTTCCAGGGTACGCCGGTTAAGCACATCAAACTGTCCCCACGGCCGTTGCAGGCGTGTCACCAGCAGAACATGACAGGGTCCACGGGCAAGATGCCGTCCTCGCCGCGGCGAACCCGCAACGACGTGAAGAAGTGCCGCAAGGTCTACGGGATGAATTCGCGCGAACTCTGGTGCACCCAGTGCAGGTGGAAGAAGGCCTGCACCCGTTTCTGCAGCGAATAGGCCAAACGTCCGCCTCGCTCGTCGCACGTCCGTAGGAGGCAGACGACGACACCCTCGCCACGCCGACCCCAGAGTTCGTCAGTGCTACGTTGAGATGTCACACCAACTGCCAAATGCCAATCGCCGCGCCAGCAACGTCGCAACAAACGGCGCCGCGACGCAGCGGAGGCGCGCGCGAAATACCGCCGAGAGGTCCCAGCGAGACAGGACTGTCCTTGTACACATTGTCCACCATCTCTCTCTCTCTCTCTCTCGTAACTCGTCGTAAGCGAGCGCGCGAGTAAGCGAGAGCGAGCACCTCTTCCTCCCCCCTCTCTCTCTCCCCCGTGTTCCGTGCTCGTGCACAGCGCTGTTACCCAAGCAACTGACGATCGAGCAGCCACGGAGAGTCCTGGGAAGAAACGTCGGTCCATCCGACGATATCGCGGCCGGCTCCAAGAAGCCGACGTACGCATTTGTGCATCGATGCGACACAAGCTTCCCAGTCTAGAGACAGAGAAGGGAGGGGGACCGATGGCGGAGGAGGTTGGACGACGGTGGCGGACGACGTGGTCCATCCGAACGTATCGACTTCCGCCCGTGGTGCCTGGCGAACTCCGACCCGGGTCCCCTTCATACCGTAATACGAGGGGATCCTTCGATTAGTAGGTAGCGATTAATTGACGCGCGCCCGCGCTCACGGCAGCGAGGCGGACACCGACATATATACACACACACATACATACATATATATATTATATATATATATATATATATGCACACGCATACACATTAGACTGTTTCGCGCTACGTTCTCCGCATTCCCGGCGGAATGCGCGAGACATCGACGACGACAACAGCCTCGCTCGCGACCCGCCCAAGATAAGAAGAGATAACCTTCCGGTTACTTCGGTACGTACCAGATACGCGCTCGCGCGCAGGACGCGAGCGCATGCATGTCCTACGAAGCGCCGGTTCCCGAACCGTCTCTTAGGTCACTGCAACAGGTCTTCCTTCTTTCGGCAAGAGCGCGCGAGCGAGCGAGCGAGCGAGAACGATTAAACCGGAGAGGCGTTATTCTCAACGTCGTCGGGGTCCCTCGGGGATGTGGCGGCGATCCGGCCGCGATCCCCGAGGAGCACCGTGCCCGGTCGGGCGAAAGGAATACCGGCGCGAGCTCGGTCCGACACCGACGAATACGTTCATGCCGAGGCACGAACGCAGGCAGCAGGTAGGCAAAAAAAGTCGCGTGGAAAACGGAGCTGTTAATTGTGATATCTAAATTTATCGGGACCCCCCGCGCGCGGGTCGAATATAAGGATAAGGCCGAGGTGGAGGAGGTGGTGATGGCATGAACAGGTTGGGAGGTAAGAGGAAGCACGGAGGAGGAGCGGAAAGGAAAAAAAGAAAAGGGAGAAAGAGGTACACGGGGGAAAGAAGGAAGAATAAGGTGAAGGGAAACCAAAATTTTATACACCAATTATACTGCCAGATAAAAGTAATTGATGAAGAAGGGGGAAAGAAAAAAACAAATAATAACAATATTGTTGTTCGAGCCTCTCTCGCGCGTATAAAAGAGGCGTTATGTTGCACCATGCGTCGCCGTATACCGGGCTTAGCCTTGTTAGCCTTCCGACGACCTAAGACCGTGTTCGCCAACAAAGGAGCTGCACGCGTACATAAGATAGGCTACGCAGTTGAATCGATCGATTTACTAAGAGATCCAGCGAAGGTCTCGCTCTAGATCATGCATATACACACACACACACACACACACAAAAAAGCACACATACGAACACGAGGAACGATAACATCACGTTTGTATAATTGTACGTTACTTCTCATACTCCTTCTCTCTCTCTCTCTCTCTCTCTCTCTCTCTCTCTCGCTTCGGGTTGTTTGCAGGACGGGACTTTATTCGCTCGAGCCGATTATTTCAAAATATATCGTTTGATCTCGATTACATATTTCTATATAATGTAGCGATAAAAGAAGAAAACGCGGAACGAACACTTGCAAATTTTATATACGTTGACGGATTTGACGGAAACTCAGCCTCTTTTTACGGAGCGAGCCTACGACGCGCGACTTGCAACTTAAGATTTTAACGCAATAAAATGACAAGAGTGTTTTTTCTTACGCGAGGGAAGAAAGGAAATATCGGCGAGGCGTCGCGATCTACACTCGAGACGGGACTAGAACTCAAAACTCGCGGCAGCTCGCCAACGAGGATTTCTTCCAGGTTTTTCCGATTAATGTTCATGCTTTAGTCTAATTTAGCATAGTTAGCATAATTATTGTATTGCATAATTATACTATGATGACGGGATTTATAGTATAATTATAGTATAATTATACGATATGCAAGGTATAATTTAATACTATAATTTACTATATTTAGTAAAAATTATCTTGTATATTGTGTATACTACATATATTATCGTACACACACACACACACACACACACACAAATTATATATATATCTTGTATAGTACGTATCGTTCGTTTTATATAATTATCATTACCGAACTTAACATGCTAAGACACTTAGCATACCGATGTTGCTTATTGATAACAAACGTTACGGGGACTTAGAGTTTTTTGATTAGCGATAACGACAATGTCAATTGCATCGGGGAGACGCGCTACTCAAAAATCACGACTCGTGACTCGCAAAACTCATCGACGAATGACCGATCATTCTCGCGACAAAACGGTATCGACCTTTACCATCCTGAGTTGTGTTCAGACCACACAGGGAGGCATCGTGTTGTCAGCAATATTCCCCGATCTTTCATCGATGCGACTATATACACGTATACATGCGAACTTTTTTAAAAATCGCCCGGTCCTTTTTAAAAATTGTCGGTCGCGCGCAAGGCGACTGACGTTTGACGTAATGTTGTCGTCGCACGGGAAAAGGAAGAAAAAGAAATTCATTGTGTTTCTCTCTCTCTCTCTTTCTCTCTCTCTCTCTTTCTTCCCCAAGTGTAGACTTGTTGACGCCGTGTGTGACGTCTCTCAAGGTGTCTCACGTCTGGATTATATATCGAATATCGTACGTTTCACTAATTCATCGCGTTCCTCTGGACTTCAAAACGCGCGACGACGCGCATTTGTCCACTTTTACACGGATAACGCGGACGATTCGTGCGAACGACGACGCGGTGAAATTCGGCCGTCACGAGGTACTCGCGATCCCGCGGAACGCAGCGCGAACGTGCAAACGTAGATAGCGTAGAAAGTAATTGCCGTCCATGTGTGTGGTAGGTTCTTTCCTTCGATCAAAATTCTCATGCTCGGTCGTATCGCAGACACCGAGAACGCTCACCGGGGACAATATCCGAACGGGAACCGTCGAGAAATCTCGGGGGGGGGGGGGNGGGGGGGGTCGAAGGGGAAGGGATGGATGGTGTCGCTCAACGCTCGATTAACAGTCATAACGCCGCAGACTTTGCTCGTCGTGATTCGATTCCGTGGTAGGCTGTAATGCGCAAAGTGCGCGCGTTGTTTACACGCGTTACTCGAAAAGCGAAAAGTGCGACGGTAACATCGAAGTTAACACGAAGAGCCCCGAGTGAGGTCATTTTTCAGTAAACGTTAATCCTAACGTTATAACAAGGTAACTGTTGTATTTAACGCGTGTTACATTACACTTACATTGTTGAGTGAGAAATTATAACATCGACTACGTATTATTTTATCACGGTAACGCTGATCCGGTTCAGGGTGTGTTCAGGGTAGCGCGTTATTAGCGTCACTCTTCGTCTTTATCGGTCGAAGATCGGTCATAGAACAAGGATAGACGCTTGGACGTTGATATCTCGCTTCTCGAACGTATCTTAAGCTGAATTAGCGTTGTCGTGTAGACAGGAAAAGATCTCTTTGGATTTAATAAAATTGCTTTAATTAAGTAAATTTGTCGTTTGGAAGCAAACAAACGAATGTTTGATTTAACAAACTGGATTGTTTGGTTTCTCAAACAATATATATATATATATATATATAAAACATATTTCTTTTATATTTTCATCCAAACATTACAATAGTCACAAGCAACAAATTATTTGAAACAAATAACACTATTTTAGACAAATTAAAGAACTTCTTTCTGTTTCCAGAGTGAAACGATATTCAATATATAACGAGACAAATGTTTCTTTTATCGAAAACCAAACATTATTTCCTCTAAATAATACTGTTTTTTTCTCTTTTTTTTTTATCAAGCATCATGATGCTCACTCCAGCGGAACATTTTCATTGAAACAATGATATTTGATATCATAGTACGTTGTTTATATTAAACAAATCCAAATCAAACAGACATGTATACTGAATCATTTGTACTCGTCATCGACGTAATGTTACTGTCAGTTCCTCGTATTTACCCGGTTCCAAAGCGCAGCAAGCTCTTCGCGGGGAACGTTTTTCTATCATTTTACGGAGCGGGGAGGGGAGGGGTTAAGGTTCTACACACACTACCCGCCTGTAAATCGTAGGACGATCTTTTGAGACGTCGATTTAATTCGCTTACTTTCGATTCTCTCTCTCTCTCTCTCTCTCTCTCGGCGTTCCTTTATGCATTCGCGTCGGCCGTTCTTCGTCCACGCTCGAACACTTCCGGATCCGTTAGCGCGTCGCGGTTGCATCAAGAGCGCGCGCGCGATTGTATCCGCCGCGCATCACATACGCATATCGAGATAAGTTCTCACGGAGAAACTCCCTTGCGGTGATTTATCGTCGATCCCACTTGCGTGTACGACACGAGCCGACAGATCGCACAGCACGCGCGCGCTCAGGACGAGTCTCTTTCTCTCTCGATCTCGACGAGCGTCGCGTTCACGAGAACTTTGACGGACGCCGAGAAGGCGTGCGATGGCACTTTGCGAAAATGCGGACGGAAACGAATAAAACGCGACAAGAGAGTACAATGAATTGTGCCATTACGTATGCCAAATATTCTCAAATGGCTCCCTCTCCCACTTCGGGGTGACGGGAGGGGGAAGGGTAGGCGAGGGAAACGAGCGGCGAGAGGAGACAGGAGATCTTCGCCGAAAAGAGGAATGTAGTAGATGGAAAGAGACGAGAGTTTTGCGCGAGAGCGACGCGAGAGGTAAGGGCGGGCGTAAAGCGGGGGTCTGCAATGAGAATTTAAGCTCTGAGTCTTAAGAAATTGATCGATCACAATTGATTATTCTTCTATAATTCGATTGTGATCGGTCCAGTTTCTTAAGGCTTCGAGCATCTGTTGTAGACTAAGACTAACGGGCAATGTTGCAACATTCGTAACGAAAGCTTTACAGACTTAATAAGATAGCTCAGGTTTACTTCTCATACGCGCGTGGAGGGCGCCTCGTCGTCCCGCTCGAAACGGCCGGTCGACCGATCGATCGATCGATCGATCTCGACGCCGTTCCGAATCGCTCGGCTGTTAACCAACAGACGGCTGCCCGTCACATCCGTCGCTTCGAGCGGCGACGACCGGTTGACGAATACCGACGAATACGATACGTAACGGCGTATCTATCGCGACTTCAAGTATGTCGATATCAAACACCAGCCGAATCCGCGGCGACGAGTCGCGAGGACGGGGCTTGCGCCGTGATTTCCCGGGGAGAGACACGTCATGTTCTCCGTCGAGAGATCCTCCGAGATCGGGTGCTCCATTTTGGACTCACATCGCACGCTGGAATAAACGTGTCCCTTTGGTTCTCGGAAACGGAACGTTCAGCACGATACGTTCGTTTTCGTAAAACGGAATCGGCGGAAACGTTCGACATGAAATGTGTGCGTCCAGAACGGGAGCTCAGGATCCCAGAGGACGCGCGCGTCGAACGTGCCGAGTGTGCCCTTTTGATTCTCAAGTTGAAATGTTACACGCGACACTCGCGTACCACACAAACGCAGCTTGGAATTAAAAGGACGCGTCTAAGCTGATGCAGCAAACGATAACGTTTGCTGTATCGAGAGAAAGAAATACCCACAAAGTGACTAATATTTATTCGGTGGCTATTGCGATGATTTATTTATCAAACTCCCCTAAATTCTTTTATTTAAATAAAAAATCGCCCCCACGATAAGTATACATTTAGGAAAATGTTATTTTCTTCTCCGAGAAAATTAAAAAAAGATTCAGCCTTTTTTTTTTTAGTTTTATACGGGGAGAGAATTTTTTCCAAAGAAATTTTCTCTTCGTATAAAATTGAAATTCCGAGAGAGATTTAAGCGAATGTATTTTTAAATGAATTTTTTCCTCCGTTTGAAAATGTGTGATATAAATGTGTCGTTAGTAGCCACCGAGTGAATAGTGTTTATTTCTCTAATATTTCTCTCTCAGTGTACATATGCGTGCAGAATGGGGCCATAGTCGCGGTTTTCTTCACACCATAAGCAGCCTAAGAAGGCGGATATCTTCCCCGTCGGCGACAGTCCCGGAGACCGTCTCCGTCGCTCCGGAGTCGTTCGCGAGATAATCGTTGGCTCCGAGTACAACATCGAGGGAGCGGGAAAGCGCTCGTCCACGCGTGGTTTTCCGGTGTGGAAAACACCGCGTCTCGCTCTCCCGCTCTCTCTCTCTCTCTCTCTCTCTCTCTCCTCCTCGTTAAAGCCTCTCCCAGCCAGCGCACACGTTAATAACGACACGGCGTTCTTGCGAATTCCGCGCGGATTTCCAGCCGAACTTTCGATCGATTCGACAGGCGGGCCGACGAGCGGTCGCGATTCGCGGTATGTTCGAATGCGACGGTCGCTCCTGAGAATTTAATTGACCACGCCGACACGGAAACGGT